CGGAGGCCATTTTATGTTGGATTGTAGTTTGTAAAAGCATGCTGGCAGTTGGGTTGCGTATTGATGTAAATTATTGCAGGTTGTTTGTTGTTGGTTTGAGCATTTTACAGGGGAGACCCTGCCGAATTTTTGGTAGAATGTCTTGGGTTTTAGTAAATGGGCCCGGCATCAGTGTGATGTCGGCACCAAGACGGGGTCCGCCCCGGTTTCGGGGGAAATTCCGGGGCGGGTCCTGTCATTTTTGGTGTGTTCTTTTGGGCTTGATAGTTATATGATTGATTTTCCACACTTGACTAATGTAAGTGAATGACTCATAATGATTAACTGATTTGGGTGATAAACTTGATGAAAAACAACATAATCTAAATTGATTGATAATTCAACCTACAACCCAACAATCCTAGAAAGCACCAAGTTGTTTATCAGTGGATTATGCATGATCTTGTCTATAATATCATTGAGACAACCTTCTACATACTATTGTTAACTTGTTCTGTCACAAAAGGTGTTGGTGTTATTAGCTGACTGAGACAAACAAGGCATGTAGAATCAGGGCCGTCTCTGAGATTTTGAGGGCCTTGTGCGAAACTTAAATTGGGGCCTCACATAATCTAATACGAAAATACTATAAATAAAAATTTGCCGTAACTAAATGTCATAAACAATTTTTTTATAACTAAAAGACACCATCAATAAATATGTAATGACAATCAAAAATCAAATTTATAAAAATTTAAATGTTTCTATTTGATAAAATTAAATGTTTAGTACAAAAATAAGCTTCTTGTGCCCCTACTGTAACACCCCGACCCCAAATTTATCCCATGTTTAATTAATTTAAGTGGAATTGAGAAATTACCGGTGGGATAGGGGTATTTTGGTCATTTTCTTACCCATAATGAATTTGGGAATTCCGGTTGTACCGTTGCGTAGAGCACGGTGAGATGAGTCCGTAGACACGTAGTGGGCTCGAATCGGAGTTATAACGAGAGAGATATGATCAAAAGAAGCTCAGTGGCATAATCGTAAATATTTGGAAATTGGATTTTTGGTTAAAAGACGGAATTGCCCCCGTCACTCTCTCTCTCTCCCCCGCGCGTCTCTCTCTCTCCCCGACGGCAGCTTCTTTCTCTCTCTCTTCGAAACTCCGGCCACCGTCCCT